CCCCAAAACCCCAAAACCCCAAAACCCCTTCCTTCAAAATTAGTTTGAATTTGGAGCATTATGGATATGAGCTTAATTATTCATTATATATTAGTAGAAAAAAGGGAGTTTGAATTGCGTTATCTCTGATAAATTTAATAGAATTTTGAAATAGTTGAATGTTGATAAACTAGGACTCATTCCTCGATACCAGCAGTTGGTCTCCATGCTTTCCATGCAGTGTAGTGTTCATAGAGTGGTTTAAGGAGAGACTCGTCGAGGATACATGTATCAATGATGGCGGCTCCAACAACGTATGGATCAATATCTGAAGCAGGTCTTCTATCTTCAATATAACCTCTTCCGTTATCGGCAGCAGTTGATGTTGGAATTCTGACTGATGCAGCTCTGTTACCTGCCCCATAAGAGAATTTAGTTGGATCTGATGTCTCATGATGACCTGTTAGTCTCTTGGTGTTGTCTCCGTAGAGTTCAATGTGCTCTCTGTGCTTACTTGACATTCTTTCCATAAGGCCGTGGATATAATCCATTCCACCTGTACCTGCTCTCATTGTTGTAGTTGAGAAGTTGGTATGGCAGCCTGCACCATTCCAGTCCTTGAATAACTTAGGTTCGAAAGATACTGATACACCAAAATCCTCGGCGACTCTACCTAGAAGATATCTTGATACCCAGAGCATATCTCCAGCTTCAATACCTTCACAAGGTCCTACTTGGTACTCCCATTAACCAGGCATAACTTCACAGTTGGTTCCAGAGATCTTGACTCCAGAGAAGAGACATGCTTTGTAGTGAGCATCCATGATTGCTCTTCCATAGCAGTTGTTGGCTCCAACTGAGCAATAGTAGGGGCCTTATGGGCCTGGGAACCCAGATGATGGCCATCCAAGTGGCTTGATGACGAACTTATTCTTGGTTTCTAAGAGAGAATACTCCTATTCAATACCGAACCAAGGTTTTTCATGATCTCCACTTTCAAAGATCCTCTTGGCGAAATGTCTGAAGTTAGTGTTAGCTGGAACAAGGGTTTTGAAGGTATCATCAGCCCAGACAAAAGTCTCAGTCAAGACAATGATGTTATCACCTTCTCTGAATGGGTCAGGGTAGAAAGCAATAGGCTTCATGATGACCTCAGAATTGTGGGTTGAAGCCTAATAGCATGATGAACCATCATAATTCCAGTCAGGGATATCTTCAAGTTTTTCGACTTTCTTAGTAATAGTCTTTGCTTTTGATCTGAGTGTAATACCACTTCCGTCGATCCAGACATACTCTGCAATAGTGCTTCCTCTTTGAGTTAAGTGAGAAAGGTCTTGATAGAATCTGAAAAGTTACTAGGCGTCTCTGGACATCTGAAATCTTTGAAATATAGTTATTAATTCAAAATCTAAATTGTTAATAAGTAGATAGTCAAGAGAGTGAACAAATATTATTAATATTCATGTTATTATTTATATCAAGTGAAGCTAGAATAAACTCTATTGTTTTGATGGGGTTTTGGGGTTTTGGGGTTTTGGGGTTTTGGGG